CCCCCCATTTTGCTGGCTCAACATTATGTATGGATGGATGAGATTATTTTTACATTTATTAAGTTACTGAATTCATGAAGGTCTATGTTCATGACTGATTGGTGATAGAAGATAGGCATCTTACAAATAGCCTCTGAGTCAGTCTTCTAATTTTGAAACAAAGACACAAGGCTGCTAAACCAATTAAGGAAATAATTTATTTCACACAGTTAAAGTATATGGTAATTTAAAAGTCTATGCTTATTTGATTGAGCAATCTAATTATTTAAGTCTACCATTCTTTAGAAAAGGAATTATAAAATGGACAGTTATATAGCTAACTTGTGGTTTGGCAGCAACTGCTTCTTTAGCAATAGTACCAAAGTAAATAATGGAGTCTTTTTTAGCAGGTCTGCAGTAAAAGATAATATCATATTTTCTTATCCCTCTTGCCCTCAATCCCCATACTTTTCCCAATAATATTTGGACTTTCAATAAATGAGTCTTCATGTAGATAACCCAGTATGGTAACTGTTTCCAAAGTAGCAGCCATACTGAATTCCCGTAACTTAGAGAAGCTTCCTATAGTTGCTGACATTAATTGCAAGAAATAACTATATATAACTTTGAGAAGTAAATATTTCCAAAAAACAAAGTTCTGATACAGGATGAAACTGAAAAACCTAGTAACATTTGTAAACAAAACTGAATGAAAAGTGTTATAGATCAACTTAAAAATCAATTTGTTTCGGAAACAAGATGGTGGCATAGGTAACAGCTACACCCGCCGCCTCCCACAACATCAAAATGACAACTAAAATACAGAACCACCATCCCTCAGAGCCTCCTGAAATCTGGCTGAACAGAAGCCCTACAACCAGGGAACTGAAGGAGCGTCGAGACCGGGAGGAGGGGCGGAGACGTGGGCGGATCGGGGCTGAATGCTGGAGACAGGGCCACAGCCCACACCCACTGCTGCAGGTAAACCTGGGAGGGATATCTTGGCGGTGGAGGTTTCCTGGAGGAGTGAGGGGTCCCAGTCCCACAGCAGGCCCCCAGCCCAGGGCTCCAAGGCTGGGAAGAGAAATGCCCACAACTTCGGGCTGTGAAAACCAACGGGGACTGTCACTGAGGGTCGCAGAGGCTACGGGAGTCCTGGGCTTTCCTCTTAAAGGGCCCGTGCACAGACTCACTCAGATGTGCTGCTTCTGAGCCCCAGTGCCGGGCAGCAGCTGGAAAGGAACCTGGGACATGTGGGGAGGAACTAACCTGCCTGAAATTGGAGTGAGAGGTGGAGGGGCAGCTTTCTCCCAGACAGAAGAGCTGGCAGAGGCCATTGCTCCTTTGTCGAGTCCTCCCTGCACACAGCCGGCAGGCAGGCGCGCACAATATTTGAATCTCCAGCACCTGACTCACACCTTTCACTCCACCCCAGTGTTTCCCAGAGGCCCCGCCCTTCCCCACCTGCAGCTCATCCAGGCCATTTCCAGTGGCTTTTCTGTGCAAGTGGCCTCTCGAACCTCATGCTTAGGACTTTCCTAAAATCTCTCAAACAAGCAGCAGTGTGCCCCGTACAGCTTGATAAGTGGCCCCAGGCCTGGCACTAGCAGCAGCCTGCATTGGTTAATAGCTTAGCCTCTCCTGGACAACGCCAAGCCCAGCACAAGTAGCAGCCAACTACGGTTTGCTGTGTAGCTCATGCTGGGTGGCCCTGGGCAAGGCACTGGCACAGGCTGACTTTGCACCTCCCGGAAGGCCCCAGAGACAGTGCACCTGGTGGTCAGACTTGACCACGCTGGATTACAACCCTACCACATCCACGAGTGACACACTAAAGGGCACACTTAGTGAACACCAAAGCTCCACTGAAGTGAATCCTGCTCCATAGGGGTGTCTCCAGCACAGCAGCTCTTTGGCTGTAGTTGCAGCTGGTCCTCACTGCTGATTGGCCTGGGGGTCAATTTCTCCCAGTGATGCCAACAGCAACCAAGGCTCAACTACAACAGGTCAGAGCACACAGCTTACACAGGGGAGCATCTAGAAGGTCCAGCTCAGGTGACTGGGAAGGCTGAGCCACTGGACCCTACAGGACACCTACTACACAAAGCCACTCTACAAATTCCAGGAGACATAGCAGCTCTACCTAATACATAGAAACAAACACCTGGAAGCAGCCAAAATGTGGAGGCAAAGAAACATGTCACAAAGGAAGAACAGAAGAAATCTCTAGAAGAGGAACTAAATGAAATAGAACCAAGCAAGCTAATAGATACAGAGTTCAGAATTTTGTTTATAAGGATG